CTCTCTGGGCATACTGGGTAATCCACCACTTATCGTAAAAAACGCGGTCATCTGGAAAGCCTGATTCAACGCGCTGCTTCTTGGATGGCGGCTGACCCTCCGGCGAAACAGGAAATCTCTCCACGAACTCAGCGAAGCTCTTCCCAGATGGTCCAGCTGCACAGCTTGTGGCCGAGGAAGTCTCGTCTGCAGAAGTGCTGTATGAGAGAGGAATACACGGTTGATAATATACCAAAAAATTATGAATGAAAACTTGCTATTTTTGTTGTGCTAATTGTTTGCGATGAGTAATGCCATGGTTGGATGAAGAGATGTATACCTGACTAATGATTCCAGCAGCAGAGCTGCGTCGACGACATCCTGCGGCCGGACCGCACCAGTGCTGATGGACAGGTAATGCTGCAGCGCCTCCTGTTGCTGCGCCGGGAGCTTTTCTGCAGCCTCCTCAACAGCCCTCCGCACACACTGAGCAGAGAAAGGAGCCAGCTTGTACCTGCAGAAACAAAAAGGAAATATTAATTGTGATGTGACTGTGATGAGGCAAGATACAAAGAAGTGTATCCGTTCACACACACACACACACACACACATGGACCCGTGTAAGGCACTTACAATTTATGGAGCCGATTCATGTCCCGAGAGACACTTTGAACTTCCATGCCGGATGACGAAACAAAGAAACTATTGCAGAGTTTCTCCGGCTGAATGTTCTCAGGCCTGATTCGTCTGAAGTACAGCTCCAAGCACTACAGAAAAAAGACAGATGAGTTATTCCATTTAAAACAATGATGGTGAGAAATCAACAGTTTGTACAGTAAAACTTACAGCTTCCTCCTCAGAGCGATCTGCATACTCGAGGTTTTCTCCCTCTGTACGCCGATCACAAATCTGTCACCCAGCTTAGTCTTGTTCACCCACTCAGCATCCTGGAAAATATTGAAAAGGCGTTATTTACAAATGCACAAGTGTGCCAATATTAAAGCACATACAGAGTGTGTACAGAGTGAACTTACCGTCAAGGCTTCCACGGCTCTGGGACGCTGCATGTGGACAAACACCAAGAGCGCCTCGCAGTAGTAGCGGTAGAGCGTCTGGTCCGTGTTGGAGAGCTCTCTGCCCGCCTGCAGGTCCCTCTGGATCCTGAGCACGTCCGGCTTCGCCACTCTCACGATCTTCTGGCAGTGTTTAATGCCAGGAGCCGTCTGAACCAACCGGCTGTTTGGATTAAACATAACAGACAAGACTATTAAAGTTATCAATAACATAAAGTGAGAAAAGAATTTACATTTAAAACGTTTAAGGTTTGTCCCTTACGTTTGAGGAAGATCAGATGAAGGAGCAGAAGCATCATCTTCATCACAGTCAGACTCGCGGGGCTGGTTCGTGATAAAAAAACCACGCTGAAGAAACTCCTTGACCATGATGACGCGAGAGCGGTGATCGGGCAGGAGCGCACAGATCTGGTTGTAGTCCCAGGTCCTGTTCATCCGAACCCACTCTCTGCTCGAAGCCTTGGCTTTTCTGGACCTCGGCCGCTCTCTCCTCGGGCGTGCGTTTTTCATGCAGACTCTGGACAGGTGAGCAGCAAGGTTTTTCCTGGGGTTTGTGGCACTGCAAGCAGTGGACAACGGTACGATCAGCGACCTTAAAAACAAAATTACATGATATAGAATCATTATTTAAAACTATGATCTGAAGAATGAGACATAAGTAAAAAAAAAAAAAGAAATTAAATACTCTTAAATATGCAGCAAAACAGGGCATTGTCCTATTACCATTGAAATGGAGCTCAACAGAAAATACACAAAAACACAAACATTACCTCTTTTCAGCTTGTCCTTCCATTTCAGCAAAATCCGATTCAGATTGTCTCAGCAGTTCAGCAGAGTAGATAGAATCCAAGAGAATCTGCGCAGACCTGATAATGGGCCATCATGAGATAGCTGAGCCATCAGTGAGCCATCAATGAGCCATCAATGAGCCATCAGTTTTACTGCCTGAGCTTGTGAAATGAAACTGATTAGTTCTAATGGTTTTTAAATGGGCAATCATATTTACTGCCAGGGATACTTAAGTGTTTGTTGGCTTAAGAGATGGAATTCATTTAAGTCCTGAGGGAAATAATATTTTCCCCTCTCTGACCAGCAATAAGCAGAAACAAATTCGTACAGCCATTTTTAGTGCAGTCACTGTAAAGCTCAGAGGCCTAATTCGAGGCCTGTTTGACCCCTGCTCTCTCAAGCCGGGAACAACATGAAACAGCCTGATATTATTATTTAATATAAAACTAATCTAGGGGTATGTGTGCTTTCATACCCCAACACTTATTTGGCTTTACCATGTTCATGAATGAGAGGTCGTCAGGTTAGCTGACCTCTTTGCCGTGGTGAAAATCTGGGAGCACTTTACCAGTTTTCAATTTGGATTATTTTATTAAAATGAACGCATCTCAGTCATTGTTTATGCTACAGACAAGTTTTGCACATCTATTGAAAGCTTGAGACCTGCACTTTAATGTGTTTGCATTGAATTATCTGTATCTTGTTCAGGGAGTTGATAATACAGACTAAAGTTGCGGCTGTCACCGCTGAACTCACCCCAGGCCTTTGTCGTTACTGTTTCTGCTGTGCTAAAACGTCTTTATTTAACTCAAATCTCAAGCTTTCTTTCTGCTTTTAGCATCAAATTAATCAGTGAGTTCGGAAAGATTAAGAGTTGAGAAAGATTATTTCCCTCAGGACTTAAATTAATTCCATCTCTTAAGCCAACAAACACTTAAGTATCCCTGGCAGTAAATATGATTGCCCATTTAAAAACCATTAGAACTAATCAGTTTCATTTCACAAGCTCAGGCAGTAAAACTGATGGCTCATTGATGGCTCACTGATGGCTCACTGATGGCTCACTCATGGCTCACTCATGACTCAGCTATCTCATGATGGCCCATTATCAGGTCTGCGCAGAGGCAGACACCCATTGTATAATACTGCGATCTGATTGGCTGGTTTGAGACACTCAGGAGGTTTATCTGGGAAGCATTCTGCTAGAGAAATCACTTTTCTTCAAATGATTCTACTGTGCTGATCTGCTGAGGACTCCTGGATTCTGCTGAGGACATCTGGATTCTATCTACTCTGCTGATCTGCTGAGAACACTTGGATTCTATCTACTCTGCTGAACTGCTGAGGACATCTGGATTCTATCTACTCTGCTGAACTGCTGAGGACATCTGGATTCTATTGACTCTGCTGATCTGCTGAGGACATCTGGATTCTATCTACTCTGCTGAACTGCTGAGGACATCTGGATTCTATTGACTCTGCTGATCTGCTGAGGACATCTGGATTCTATTGACTCTGCTGATCTGCTGAGAAAACTTGGATTCTATCTACTCTGCTGAACTGCTGAGAACACTTGGATCTATCTACTCTGCTGATCTGCTGAGGACATCTGGATTCTATCTACTCTGCTGATCTGCTGAGGACATCTGGATTCTATCTACTCTGCTGATCTGCTGAGAAAACTTGGATCTATCTACTCTGCTGATCTGCTGAGGACATCTGGATTCTATCTACTCTGCTGATCTGCTGAGGACATCTGGATTCTATCTACTCTGCTGAACTGCTGAGAACACTTGGATTCTATCTACTCTGCTGAACTGCTGAGGACATCTGGATTCTATCTACACTGCTGAACTGCTGAGGACATCTGGATTCTATTGACTCTGCTGAGAACACTTGGATCTATCTACTCTGCTGATCTGCTGAGAACACTTGGATTCTATCTACTCTGCTGATCTGCTGAGAACACTTGGATTCTATCTACTCTGCTGATCTGCTGAGAACACTTGGATTCTATCTACTCTGCTGATCTGCTGAGACAATCTGAATTGGATTTTGCTGAAATGGAAGGACAAGCTGAGAAGAGGTAATGTTTGTGTTTTTGTGTATTTTCTGTTGAGCTCCATTTCAATGGTAATAGAACAATGCCCTGTTCTGCTGCATACTTAAGAGTTTAAGGTTTAAGTTTTTATCTCTTTTTTAAGTTTTGCTGGTCAAGGGTCACATTAGGCCTCTGTTTTAAGAATTCACTGTCTTCATTCATTTGATTTGTAAGTTTTGGTGTGTCTGCTTTGTCTCACAGACAGAAATCCGACCGTCGCATCATTCACTGCCTGCTGTGTGGGAAACCACAGGAGATGCTGTCGACGCATCTGAGCAGAGTGTGTATGAAAAAGAACACACCCGAAGAACGGATGGAGGAAACAAATAGGGCAAAGGAGTCTGCCAAGGCGTGGACACGGCAAGCCAGGAACTGGGACTACAAGGAGATGGTGAAACGTTACCCCCACAGACCATCCAGACTGGCTCTTCTGAAAGAGCTTTGCCAAAGAGACTTTTTTGTGGCTAATGCTCCTGAACAGGCAGACTTGGACCCAGAAGAGGCGTCCACCAGCACGGCGGGTGAACCTTCTGGAGCAGCCGGTGGCAGCTCTGAAGCAGCCGTTGTCAGCTCCCTGACACGGTATGTAATTATCTGTAATATAATTATGTTATAAATCTGTTATAATAATAATGTTTCTCAACGCTCATCCATCAGTTCGTTAGTTTGTAACCTCCAAACCTTTTTGATATTGCAGCTCCTCTTCTTACGACTCTGGCGACGAGGGCACCCAGGCAGTGAAGAGAAGGCGGGTGGAAGAAGAGGTTGGCAGCCCAGCCCCGGACTTTAATGCTTTCCTGCAGGCCTTCCCTGTGGGAATCACTGGCCAACCACCCAACAAGACCCAGAGAGAAAAAGCTGGGTTCCCCGCCGACAGAGTCTTTTATGATAAGTGGAGGGCTCTGCAGTACAGCCTTCGGGAGCAACATCTTTTGTGTAAGTGTATATACTTCCTTATGATCCAATGATTAGATTTGCTCCAACAGAAACACTTAGAACTAGTATGTGAACCTGAATTTTAATTCAAATGTGCTCTCTTTGACAGCAAAATTCTCAAGACGTACCCCAACTGCAGCGATGGTGGCCAAAGTCATAGATGCAGAGGGCTGGACGGCCAATCATCCTCGTCCAGAGGACATCATGGCGAAGTGGAGGCCGCTCAGCAGAGCACAGGCGGAGAGTGACCCGGGCATCATCAAGAGGGTGACCAGGTATGTACAACTGTCTTATGAGCACAGTAAAATCCATAAATAAAATGAATATAATAACTGAACAGCACATTAATGACTCCCTCTTTTTGACCACAGGCGTTGTTGCAACCAAGGCCTTCGGGAAGGGCTCCATCCTGTGTGATTTCCACGGAAAGGTGATCACAGGTGCTGAGGGCAGGGAGATGGCAGAGACGCAGGACCAGCTGGGAAACCTGTTTTTCTTCAAACATGGCCCTGACGAAATCTGCATCGATGCGGAGACTTTCCCCTGTGAGTGCCACCCGTCTCTGGAAACCATCGGGAGATGGATTACTCACTCAAAGAAGAAGTGCAACGTGCAGCCATGCCACTGCATAGTGAAGCTTCAGGGGGGAGACAGGCACGTCCTGCTCTTTCAGGCCACCACGGACATTAAGAAAGATGATAAGATCTGCTTCGACCACGGCATCAAGAAGAGGACTTTTCGTGGGGAGATAGAGGAGCTGGAGTGGCTGAACATTTGATTCTTTACAATTTGTGTCACATTTTATGACACAAGACTATGAACTATCAATGTTTTGTTTTTCAACTGTGAGCTCGCGAATGAACTATAAATGTTTGGACAAAATTGGGAGCTTGCGTATGGACTATCAATGTTTGGACAAAATTGGGAGCTTGCGTATGGACTTGATGTTCATGTAAAAGGAGCCTCAGTAGCGTCTAAACGTTGTAGTTTCATGTAAAAGGAGCCTCAGTGTGACCAATGAAATAATTGAGTTTGATCTACGTCCTGGAGCTGGAGTGGTTGGATCTCTGACAACCCGGACAGACTCTATTTTTTCAGACTGTGATTTTGCCGGACGTCTGCTTGCCTCTCACAGACCATGTGTGACAAATTTAAATGGAGCCTCATTGTGAACTGACAACCCAGACAGACTGTATTGTAAGTAGAGTAGAGTACTTATTGTAAGTGTATTGTAAATACTTTGAACAGTATTGTACATGAATTTATGCTCACTGTACATTAGTAAAATAACCTCTCTGTTTTTGGTTTACCACAGCAGGATTTTGAAGAGGGCACCACGCACTCTACCCGGGCATCCCAGGACAGTGTCTCCTTCCATCGTCGGCTCCTCAGAGCTCCTTGAGGGATGCTGAGAACGAGCCGGAACCTCAGAACAATTTCCATAAAGTTACGCATCTCTTTAACCATTCATTCACTTATTGCTCACCTTTTATACTACTGCTGAATCAGATCAAATGCATTAATATTATGAACATCAGCTATGCTAATTATTTCCCATCTGCCTTTCTGCTGTTATCTCGGGACAAGCGGGGTTCGTCAGGTCCAGCTTGTATCCAGCGTGTCACGGAGACTTCAGATGCCCCAACGCCTGTGATTTGATGACCAAACGCCCGTGAAGAGACGACTCGACCCCTGTGAAGAGGCGACTCAACATCGGTGATGTGTTTTCCCATAAACTAATACATGATTAACTAACTGTATTTTTCTATGGACAATTCAGAATTGCACTATTGTGTAAAGAACTATACGAATAAGAATTAGAATTAAAGCTGCTATGCATATTTCTTTTCTGTTTTAAAAACATAATTTCCCTTAATCTGAATTCAATCATTCTTTTAACAGTGGGAGCCTTACGGGAGTGTTCACGGGGCCTGCATCTTCTTCCACACATTCTCAGATGCCCAGGAAGGGATTTCTAAAAATTAGAATACAGTGATCTCTATTCAAAACAACTGAATAAGCTCTAATCCCTAACTGTAAAACTGTGTGACGTGTTTTTGAGCATGTGATGAGGCTGTGCATTTATATATAATGGTGTCAAGTTTATAAAATGTGTGAACAACATGCAGTGTACATATTCTTTTGGAGTGCTCTTTTATATTGTTAATAAAAAATAATTTTCACAAACCTATTGTTGCATTATGATTGTTTGTTGATTATGCTGTAGCTTATGGTTTTCGATTTAAATAATCTCCTGTTAAAAATCTTTTATTAGTATAAGTATTGTCTGTGACCCTACATTCACCAAATGTTAGAGTGACTGAGATAAAATAGGACTAAAATAACTTTAACTTGTCATTTGATTTTGATTTTTCTACAGTATTTTACAGACAGCTGTCAAACTCTGTTGCAATTGTGTAAACTTTTCGTTTAATTTTTATTTCTCTACAGTATTGTGCCAACAATGAAGAGATGGAGGACTTATAATTTATTTTAAATAAATATCATTATGGTCTACTCTCCTTATTTTTTGAAATATATTTCCAAATCTGTCGAGGTTTTGCAGAGATATTTGCGTGTTATTTGTGTGTCTTGTAACATTGAGGGTGCAGCCATGTTTGTTTAGATGCAAAGCCCTCTGGGATATGACGTCTTAGCTTGTATTGTGATCAAATCAAACAATTGTTCAAAGCAAACTGTATTTTATTAAAATTACAATAAAGCAAAGTAAAAACTATATACACAATTAATACAGAAACAACAAAGAAATATATAGATGAACTCAATTAAAGCTTTAACAAGTTAAGAACTATACACACACACACACACACAATAAAAAGCATAAAGACACTTTAAACATTAAACAGTGCATCTGTTACAGACAGAGATCCCTCCAGTTGTCTGGCACAGGATCCTCCGAACGCAAGCGCCTGTTGAAACATACAGAATGATAATGAAAAGTATGGTTAAATAACATTTTGGAACAAAACAAAATAGAAATGGGTATCCAAATGTACTTTAAGCCTAAATGTTTGCCTAAAAATCTATATATTAACAGGTATATATAAAAACAGGTGATGCAAACTTACTCGTTGTGCTGTGCTCGAAGGCCACCCTGGCCTCGCCATCTTCGAGGACACAGGATGGCCTGGTGTATTCCCTGTATACAGGGTTATTGCGTGAAGCAAGGGATGCGATCGCGGAATTACCCAGGTCACATGGGGTAACCGCATCTCATGTCTGAGCGATATTTCATCCCCAACCCATCTTCCTGGTTGCAAAATTTTATATAGTTTTTTTAAATTAAAATGATCAGAAATGGGTATCCAAATGTACTTTAAGCCTAAATGTTTGCCTAAAAATCTATATATTAACAGGTATATATAAAAACAGTTGATGCAAACTTACTCGTTGTGCTGTGCTCGAAGCCCACCCTGGCCTCACCATCTTCGAGGACACAGGACGGCCTGGTGAGTCCCGAGGTGGGCATGGCATCGCGGCTCGCTTCGAGTTCCAGTGACTCCAGCATGCCGCCGAACCTTCTTCCCGTGGTCGGACCTCAGCTTTTTGCGGGCCGGTGTCCCTCTTCAGCGAGTTTCCAGGCATCTCGTTGTCTCCACGGATGCATCTACCACGGGTTGGGGTGCCATGTGCAATGGGCATGCAGCCGCAGGTTCCTGGACAGGACCCCAGCGCCTCATGCACATCAATTGCCTCGAGCTGCTGGCAGTACGCCTGGCCCTGCACCGCTTTCGAGCACTGCTCAGGGGTCAACATGTACTTGTCCGCTCAGACAACACCACTGCAGTAGCGTACATCAACCACCAGGGGGGTCTACGCTCACGCCGGTTGTCGCAGCTCGCCCGCCACCTCTTGTTATGGAGTCAGAAGCACCTGAGGTCCCTTCGTGCAGTGTAAATTCCAGGAGACCGGAACCTGGCAGCCGACGAGCTGTCACAGGTCCGCCCTATCTCCGGCGAATGGCGACTCCATCCCCAGACGGTCCAGCTGATTTGGCACCTACGGGGGGAGCCATGGGGGGAGCCAGAAGGGAAGGGCTCTCTCAAAGCAACGGCTGTCCCACTGGATAGTGGACGCCATTGCTTTGTCTTACCAGCAGCAAGGCAGTCCGTGCCCCCTTGGTGTGACGGCCCATTCCACTCGGAGTGTGGCCTCCTCTTGGGCTCTAGCGCACGGCGCCTCGCTAACAGACATCTGCAGAGCTGCAGGCTGGGCGACACCCAACACCTTCGCCAGATTCTATAATCTGCTAATTGAGCCGGTGTCCTCTCACGTACTCGCTTCCGCCAGTACTGGACCCGCTCAGGTGTCTTCGCTTGCTCGCCACTCCACTCCCCGGACTGGATAAGTGCGATATTCCTCAGTTCTTCCATTGAAGCCTTGAGTCCTCCAGCACCGACGATGCGGGCACCACTGCTGTTGCTCTGGATGCCGGCTAGGTGCCTCCATGCGTACGGTTCCCCATGGTAACCGTCTCATGTGTATTTCCACTGTAAGCCTCTCTGAGCATGTGTCTTCCCTTGGCAAGCCACCTGCCACCCCTGGAGTTAAATTCTAGTAGCCACCTACGGTTGGTGCTCCAGTGATCTCCATATGCGTTCCTATACGGCCATATGTGTATTGTAAGTCCTCCTTCGGTAGGCATCTATAGCATGTCCCTCCCGGGATATGTTTCCCAGTGTACCTTGGTAATCCTGTGTCAAAGTGGGATCCCTGTAAAAAAAAAAAGTGACTACGAAAGGGAACGTCTCGGTTACGGATGTAACCCTCGTTCCCTGAGTAGGGAACGGAGACGTTACGTCTCCCTGCCACTTCTGCTGTATCGCTGGGTAGACGCCGAGTTCAGTCTTGGCTCCTCAGCGAAGACATACTGCGGTTGCGTTCACTTCCTCCTTTTATACTCACGGAGTAGGGCGGAGTACGCTGTGCAAATTTCCGCAGCCCCAAGGCATTGCATGCCATTGGCTCGTTTTTAAATACTCGAAGAGGATTGGCTTTCTATGCGAAACCCCCAATCTCCGTCACTTCTGACGTAATGTCTCCGTCCCCTACTCAGGGAACGAGGGTTACATCCGTAACTGAGACGTTTCACACGTTGGGTCAAATAGTGTGTGTGTGTGTGTAATCTCAGGCATTTCCTTTGTTAGATCAAGAAGATCTTTAAGATGTGTGTTTCTCCAGTGTGTGCAGTGAATGAAGAGCTCTTTAAACACGGCAGTGGAAACTTGTGAAACATCTGTCAGTCTGTGTGTTATTCCACAAACTTCTGCTTTGACCTGCAGACCAAACACACACTCCTGTCAGTAACGTAAGTTCTTCAAGATTTATTCCTCCTTTAATAAACCATTGTACACTTGCAGCTGTGCTGGACTGAATATTCACAACAACAGCATTCTTGCTTCTGTCATATTGTTCAAATGGAGGATTTACTAACTTTAATCTGACATTTCACATATTTCAAGCTTTCTAACATTACACACACAGAAAACACGTCACGTCAAATATTTAGCTCTAATGTTTTTAATGAAGAGAATATACACAGCAAAATCCCCAGTGTTAATTCAACACTGCTCAGAGTGTATTTGGTCCCACTCTACAGAGTGTTAAAGTAACACTGAAGCAGTGTTAAAGTTAATGAGATAATTAAGTGACTAATTGGGTGATGATTGAGTATTAGTGATAAACACCTGCCCTGCTGTTAACGAGCAGAATCACTGAAAGAAAGAGAAACACAAGAACTACAACTGACCTCCAGTCACAGCCTTAGGTTAAATCAATTGAAGATACAAAGAAGACATTAAATCTGTGAAGTTCTCAGCAGAGGAGGATTAAACGACTCCACAAACAGCATTACCAGCTTCACTTATTACTAACCAGAATGACTTTATTTCTGTCAGATGTCTATGAACGGAGGTTTAGATGTTGATGTTTTAAAATATTTGGTCACCATTATTGTGATCAGTGTTTCCTTTAGTTGGGCAGTTTGACTCTCAGTATTTTAAGTACAATTTTGGTCTTTGTAACAATGTTTACCAAAACATATTGTTTGTTACATAGCAAACAATAAACAAAGGTGTTCAGCAATAATAGTTTTCATTACAAACAGTAAATAAAAAATAATGGTTCTCTAATATAATCCCTGACCAAAGGTTGTAATTTTTTTTAACAAATACATTTAACCTTTTTTGACAGCTTACTGAACATCAACATTCTGATTTTTTATATGCACTGCAGAGAGTTTGACAGAAAATCATTAAACTTCTTTTTTTTTAAACAAACAGACATCACGAATCAGCATATCAATCTCAACAATGGTGACAGGTGACTCAACAATGGTGAAGAGTAGGGCTGGGCAATATATATCGCACGATATTGTATGCGCATCTAATCAGTAAAGCCGGTTCCTTGATTAGTAGTAAATCACCTTCACCTGCTTTCAGATGGAGCGGCATTTACTACAAAGAGCCGTATAGTAGATCACTGACAAGCTGAGCCAAATCGCGTTAATATCGAGGATGTATCGCCAGCGATATTTAATGCGATATGGCTCAGCTGGTCAGTTAACTACGGCTCGTCGTCACGACAAAATCTCCCGTGTTAAACTAACACACCTGGGAGTGTACATGAGTCCACACTCAAGAGTGTTAAAGTTAATTAGATAATTAAGTGATTAAATGAGTGATGATTGAGCATTATTGAAGACACCTAAAGCAGAATCACAAGGAAAAAAAATCTAAAATTGTAAGCCACCGTTATGGAGATGAGTGTTTACTTTAGTTGGGCTCTTGACCCTTATATTAAAAATTTTATATTTTAATTTGCTGTTGCATCTGAGTTAAACCTGTCAGATGAACAAAAATAAACAACTATAAAATGATGTTGGTTATATAAAGACTTTCATAATTTAAAATTTATTCTGTTGGTTACTGCATAACTGAGATTCCGCATAAACATCCAGAATGTTAAATATAATATAATGGATTTCTCAAAAGTTGTTTAAAAAAAATCTTTCTTTTAGGCACACACAGACCTCAAGATTCAGTCAATGCTTCTCAACAACGGTGACAAGTAGAATATTCAAGTGGGAAAATAATGAGTTGTGATTGGTGGCAACATGTCACCACGGTTGAGATAGACAGGCTGATTATTGATCTCTGTGTTACTGAATAAAGATGACAGTGATTTGATCAGAATATTTTTTATTAAATATTTTAGGTTATAAGTAAAATACAGATATGCTGCAGAACTACAAAACTGTAGCTAACAAGTTAACCAA